TGAGGCCGGGAGGGTTTCCCTCCGGCCTTTGAGAATGGGTGTACAAGTCTGATGACCTGGCACATGGTGTACAAGTTCTTCATCAACTGGAAATTAAATAAGGAAAAATGGAGGCCCAAGCAAAAGGGTAAAAGCTAAAGATAGATAAGAGAGAAGATAAATTTCAAAATTGCTGATAGAATAATTTGTTTGTCATTATTTCTTTATTTTTATTGTATTCTTACTCATATATCTAGTGAATATCAATCTTATATTTACCAAGTCATGCAGAAATTCAAGGGTGAGATTTCTGGGTATATTTGCCTGCAAAAATGTGCCAGGTACCTGCAGGTACCCGGCACAGGTACCCGGGTACCCGCCCTGGCGGCCCTAGCAGGTGCGGGTGTCAAAAATATTGGATTTTTGAGGCAGGTACCCGCACCCGCTACAGGTACCCGGGTATCAAGCGACATCTCTAATACACTACAAACAATACCGATTTTGCCCCAGGAAAAAATGGCAATTTGGTTGGTGGAAAATAGGTCACTTTCCTGAGCATTTCTTTACAAAATGACTCAGGAGTAAAAATTAAGCTAAAATGAGCTGTTTTAGCCAAAAAATAAAAATGCCTCAAATGAGCTAAAAATTAATTTTGGAAAGTTTGAGGCATTTTTATTTTTGGGCTAAAATAGCTCATTTTAGCCTGATTTTTACTCCCAAGTCATTTTGTAGAAAAAGCCTCAGGAAATTGAACAATTTTCCACCACTCAAATTGCCATTTTTTCCTGGGGCAAAACGTATTGTTTGTAGTGATAGGTTTGCCCCTTGAGCAGGATCAATGTTGAGTGATTTGGCTAGCAGGGTTCATGACAGCTTCTTGAGAGGAACATTTTCAACACTTGTGTGAAATGTGCAAACCAGCTAAAGCAAAATCTTTTAAACCTCACTTCATGGAGGTGGGAGCAAATCATGGTGTGAGTGTGGCATGAGACCACTATCAAAACCTCCTCAAAAACTTGATGTTGATGCTGAGTTGAATTTTTTGGATCCTAACATCCAATCAATCTTAAGTTACAAGTTGGACTCAAGAACAAGATTTTGTATCAAATTTTTGAGGGCTCAGGATTGTCATGAGTGAGTGGCGCTTCCATCCGGGCTTGATTTGAGCCTGAAATCAAGCCCAATATTTGTGTATAATTGGGTTGAGTACCCATGGGCTGACCCATCCATCATCCATGAGGTTTGACAAATCCACACAATTGAAGCTCTGTTCAAGCCCATCCCAAGCCCGGCTGGGTTTGGGCAACGGTGGGCCGCTACGCTACACTACGCTATTTGGCCACTACATGTTAGCGTAGTGGCTGTTTTTTTTTCTGGAAATCCTGTAGTGTTAGTTCACGCTACACACCGCTGAGCTACCTGCCAGCGTAGCGTGAATTTTTTCCCACAATTTTTTTTTAGTGTTAGCTTGAAATAATTGCCGCTAAACTAACCAGTAGTGTAACTTTTTCCAAGCTAACAAAATTTCCGCTAACCAACAGCGTAACTGTTGGTCCAGCTAACATGTAGCGTAACTCATAGTAAATTAAGCTAAGTTACACTACACTACATATGTAGTTACGCTACGCTACAGTAGAAGTTACACTACATATGTAGCGTAGTGTAACTTATCCCTTGCCAAAGGTGATGCACTCAGTGGGAATTGAACCCATGACACAAAAGGATTGCGCTGGCATGTGGTCTGGGAGGACTACACTCCTCCCTGACCACATGACTAGCGCTACCCTGAAAATAGTGCTAGTCATGTGCCCTACATCCAGATCCCTCACTTTTTTTTCCTCAGTTGAGAATGGGGGCCACTCAAATTTGAGCCCCCTTCCGAAATTTTTTTTTGTGGGTTGTGGGTTTTTTTTTTCGGAGTCCTTTTTTTTCGGAGTCCTTTTTTTTCGGAATCTTACCCAGAACACTCAATACCTACCTCACTCACCCTAACCCTCAACTTGCTACCCTTTTTTCTCCATCGATCCACAATCCCAGCTGCCAAACCAGGATCATCCAAAAGGTAAGTGATCCTATGCTACCCACCTCTTGACCTTGCTACCCTGCTAACCACCCTTGTCTGTCCCCTCCCCCCCAGCTACCCTCTTTGCACACCCCCTGCTACCCTCTTTCGTTGGATTTGGACCACTGTGAGTTATCCCCCTCCCCTTCCTCTCTCTCTCTCTCCTCCCCTCCCCTTCTTTGCTCTTCTGCTACCCTGTCATCAATCGATTATCAATCGATTGATCGATAAATCGATCAATCGATCGATTGATCGATCTATTGATCGATAAACGATCAATCGATCGATTTATCGATCAATCGATTGATAAATCGATCTATTGATCATTTATCGATCAATCAATCGATAAATCGATCAATCGATTGATTTATCGATCGATTGATTGATTAAGCTACCCTCATCGTCTCTACCCTGCTACCCTGGTACTGATACTTGCTACCCTCCCTCCCCATCTTTGTGATCTAGCTACCCCCACGCATGTTTACCTTGGATTAAGCTACCCTCACGAAATCAATCAACCACAGCTGACCAACACCATAACCCTCTGACCTGTTAAGCTACCCTCACCATTGCTTCTCTGCTACCCTGCAACTGATGCTTACTACCCTCACCCCCTCTTTGATCTAGGTACCCCCACGCACGTTTGTTTGACCGTTGACTCTGGATTACAAACAGGATGGGAAAAAACAAGCGGTATGATTTCAAACATGTATTACAGTTCTGCAGGTTGCTGATCAAGTGTTTTTTTTGTTTCTTCTTACTCTTCCTGTTTTCTACTGCTCCTACTGGCTATTTACTAAATGAT